AACGCCTTCTTAGCTCAGCTGGCAGAGCGTATCCCTCGTAAGGATAAGGTCGTCGGTTCGATTCCGGCAGAAGGCACTTTTTGCCTTTACTGGGTTAATTCTTTTGAGATAATAATCTCCTCTATTTTAGCAAAAACCTGAGCAACAACCTTTTCAAAATTGCAAAAAACCTTCAAGTAATCCGTCAATGCGACAGTTCATACTTCTGGCAACCCACAAGAAAAAGGCATTCCCGCCTTAGCTGACTCACTTGGCTGACGCCACTCCGGCCCGCCCTCCCCACCAAACACCACCATCAACCACAACAACATCAATCTCGGCCTACGGCCGCACGTGCGGACTTGCGAGGCCGGCGCACCCACACGACGCCGCCGCTCTCTGCCAGCAGCGCCTGCGCCCCCGGCACGACGGCCAGGTTGCTGCGGTGCACGACGGCGTCGGAAGCGACGTAGCCGAGGCGCTCGGCGATCTCGTCGCTGCGGCAACCGCGGATGCGGTGCAGGTCTGCGGCGGCGTACTCAGCCAGCCCACGGGCCAGCTCGACGACGCGGCCGCCCCACCGGCGGCCGGCTGCCGCGTCGTCGTCGTGCGCGCCGTCCCAGTCACGCGGGTCGTCGGCGGCGATAGCTGCGTCGCGGCGGCGCCAGCCGGCCTCCTCCTCCTCTCCGGCTCCCTCCCCCTCTCCTTCGTCGCCGCCGCGGGGCTCGCGCACCACCGTCAGGATCCGCACATTCTGGTGGGCGCCGAAGGAGCCCGAGACGCCGACGACGCCAGCGGCGAACAGCGAGCTGGAGCGGCCGTCGGTGTCGGCGCCAGCGGCGATGGCGGCCGCGGCACCTGCGTCAACGTACACGGCGCCGTGCGCGGCGAGCCCGTGCAGGATCCAGCGGCGCCGGTCGACCATGGGCTTGGCCTGCGCCACGAACAGTGTGCCAACGCGCGGCTCGAAGTCGTCGTCGGCGGCCGCCGTCGCCGCGTCCTCTAGGAATTGCGAGATGCGCCGCGGCTCCGAGCCCAGCGTGATAACCATGGCGCAGCCGGCAGCCGTTGCCAGCTCAGCCGCGATCAGCTTGGTGACCATGCCGCCGGTGCCGAGCGATGATCCGGGTGTCGCGACAGAGACTTGAGAAGGGAGGGGTGCGGGGGAATATTGAGTCAGTGTCGAGCCAAAAGGCCATCCCCTGTATTCTTCCTCTCCTCTCGCTTACTCTTAAACCCCCCCACACTCCACCTGGTCAGACCCATTCTCCAAAAAAAAAATCCCAACTCACCCCGCGCCTTGAGAGCCGCGAGGTCCTTGACGAGCCGGACAGGCTTGGCGTCTGGGTTAACTCTCGGGTTGTCGGTGTAGAGGCACTCGACGTCGGTGCAGAGGAACAGGTAATCTGCGCCGACCATGCCAGCCGTGATGGCGCTGAGCGTGTCGTTGTCGCCGAACCGGATCTCGGCGTTGGAGATGGTGTCATTCTCGTTGACGATCGGCACCACGCCCATCTGCAGAAGCTCGCGGAGCGTGTTGCACGCGTTCAGGTATTGCGCGCGCTGGAGAGGGGGAAAGAAATGGAGGCTCGTGGGTTAAAGGCCACGCGTCGCCAACGTGGGATAACTGAAAATCACCTCTGCCATATTCTCCTTTGTGATGAGAACCTGGGCGACCGGGATGTCGAATCGACCAAAGAGATCATCATACAAGGCCATGAGGCGGCCCTGGCCCACTGCGGCAAGCGCCTGATAGAAACAACGATAACAGCGCCGATATGGAGCGGGATTTAGACGAAGAAGACATCCAATCTCCCACACATCCTCCTTCCTCTCACACCCCCTCTTTCGTTATGAACGAACACTCAACTGACCTGAACCTGCGCTAGGTGCTTTGGACGGCGGTCGAGGTTCATGCGCTGGAGACCGACGCCGACGGCACCGCTGGTGACTAGCACCACTGCGTGGCCGGCCTGGCGCAGGTTAAAGATGGTCTCAACCATCATGGACAGTGTTGACAGCCGCGGGCGGAGCGTCTTCTCGTCGCATATCGACGACGTGCCCAACCTGAGCGCGGTGGAGGAGAGCAAAAAGTTGGAAGGAGGAGAAGGGGTACGGGTTCGTAAGTTGGAAAAGGATTCGTGGGCAGGTGCGCAATGTGCTATGATACACGATGAAGAAAGCGAAAGGGTCAGGGCGCGGACGCGGACGCGATTCTCACTTGATGACGACGGTCAGGCGCTGGACTACGCTCGGCGATCGCGGCAGCTTGCGCGAGCCGGCGGCCGGCGAGCGTAGTTGCTGTTGTTGACTTGTTGGCGTCGACTCCCCGCTCAGGCCCATGGCGGCAACGTGGGGGGGG